GTTTACATGGAGTTTGGTAAGGCCTTTGACATGGTCATCATCATAGAATCCCTACAGTGTAGAAACAGACCCTTTGGCCCAACATATCCACACCAACCCTCAGAGCATCCCACCCAGACCCATCACCCTATAACCCACCTAATCTATACAACCCTGAACACTAGGGGCAATTTAGCATAGCCAAACCACCTAGCCTGCACATCTTTGGACTGTGGGAGGAAACTGGAGCAAACTCACACAGACACAGGGAGAATATGCAAACTCCACACAGACAGTTGCCTGAGAGTGGAATTGAACCTGTGTCACTGGTGCTGTGAGGCAGCAGTGCTAACCACTGAGCCACCATGCAGGCCGGTCCCAAAGGTAAGAGACTGTGGGAGCCAAGGCAGGTTGGCAAACTGGATCCAAAACTGGCTGCAAATAGGAGGCACAGGGTGATGGCAGAGGGATGTGTTTGTGATTGGAAGCCTGTGACCAGTGGTGTACCACGGGGATCGGTGCTGGGGTCCTTACTGCTTGTTATGTACATTAACAACCTGGATGTGAATGTAGAAGGTACAATTAATAAGTTTGTAGATGATATGAAAATTGAGGGTGATTAAAGTTTTTGAGAAGTCTTATAGCTCAGGTTGTGTTTGAAGTTGTTGGTTTGTTCGCTGAGCTGGTAGGTTGGTTTGCAGACATTTTGCCACCGTACTAGGTAACACCATCAGTGTGCCTCCGACGAGGCGTTGTTGGTCTGTCCCATTTGTTATTTATGTGGTTGGCCTCATTTCCAGTTCTGCTTCGTAGTGATTGGTACGTGGGGTCTATTTCCATATGCTTGTTGATGGAATTCCAGGCTGAGTACCAGGCCTTTAGCAATTCTCGTGCATGTTTTTGGCCGGCTTGTCCTAGAATGGTTACGTTGTTTCAGTCGAATTGGTGGCCTACTATGTCCGAGTGTATGGAAACGAGTGACAGTCGGTCATGTCTCTTAGTAGCGAGTTGTTTATAATGCACCCTTATAGCTAGCTTTCTCACGGTCTGTCTGGTCTGTGGTCTCAGGCTACAGTCTCATATTGGCCACCTGGTAAATTGGGCAGAGCAATGACAGATGGAATTTAATCCTGATAAGTGTAAGATGATGTATTTTGGGAGGGTTAATAAGGGAAGGATTTACACAATGAATGCTGGGTCCCTAAGGAGTGTTGAGGAACAAAGGGACCTTGGTGTACAAGCCCATAGATCCCTGAAAGTGTCAGCACAGGGAGACAGGGTGGGGGAAGAAGGCACAGGGGATGCTTGCCTTCCTTAGCCGGGGAGGAGAATATAGGAGCAAGGAAGTCTTGTTCCAACTTTATAAAACATTGCTGAGGCTACAGGTGGAATACTATATGCAGCTCTGGTCACCACATTATCGGAAGGACGTGATTGCACTGGAGAGGGTGCAGAGGGGATTCGCCAGGATGTTGCCTGGGATGGAAAGTGTCAGTTATGAGGCGAGACTGGTTAAAGTAATAGAGATGTACAGCATGGAAGCAGACCCTTTGGTCTAAATTGTCCATGCCAACCAGATATCCTAAATTATTCTAGTCCCATTTGCCAACATTTGGCCCATAACCCTCTAAACCCTTCCCATTCATGTCCCCATCCAGATGCCTTTTAAATGTTGTAATTGTACCAGCCTCCACCACTTCCTCTGGCAGCTCATTCCATACACACAACACCCTCTGTGTGAAAAAGTTGCCCCTTTGGTCCCTTTTAAATCTTTCCCCTCGAGCTATGGACTTCCCTACCCTGGGGAAAAGACCTTGTCTATTTACCCAATACATACCCCTCATGATTTTATAAACATCTCTAAGGTCACCCCTCAGCCTCGATGCTCCAGGGAAAATAGCCCCAGCCTGTTCAGTCTCTCCCTATAGCTCAAACCCTCCAATCCTGGCAACATCCTTGTAAATCTTTTCTGAACCTTTTCAAGTTTCACAAAACTTGTAACACAGGAAGACCAGAATTGAATGCACTATTCCAAAAGTGGCCTGGCCCACGTCCTGTACAGCTGCAACATAACCTCCTAACTCCTACACTCAATGCACTGACCTATAGAGGCAAGAGTACCAAATGCCTTCCTCACTATCCTGTCTACCTGCGACTCCACTTTCAAGGAGCTATGAACCTGCACCCAAGGTCTCTTTGTTCAGCAACACTCCCCAGGCCTTACCATGCAGTGATTTGCCTTTCCAAAATGCAGCACCTCACATTTGTCTAAATTAAACTGGGTGGGCTGGGTTTGTTTTCCCTGGAGCAGAGAAGGCTGAGGGGGAATCTATTGAGGTATACAGAATCATGACAGGCAGAGGCAGAGTGGATTATGATAATCATTTCCCCATGGCAGACGTGTCTAAGACCAGAGGGTGTAAGTTTTAGCAGAGGTGTAAGTGATTTAGAGGGAATCTGGGAAAAAATCTTTTCACCCAGAGGTTGGTAGAAATATGGAACGTGCTGCCTGAGAGGGAGGTGGAGGCACGTACTTGAGCAACATTTCAGAAGCATCAGGATAGGCACATACAATGGTGGGGCACAGGAGGTTATACACCAAGTGGAGCTAAATGGGATTAGTGTAGTTTGGTGTTGGTCAGCATAGACATGATAGCTTGAAGGGCCTGCTTCTATGCTGTATAGCACTGACTGAAACCAAAATCAGTCTCTCAGTCACTGGATTTGCAACACAGTGAAATTAAAAACATTTTATGGTCTCAAAATGTCTTAAATATTCCTACCAGACTTTACAAATAACTTGGACACCAAGTTTATAACTTAAACGAAATTTACACTATTAATTATAAATTGTTAGTTTAGCAGATCACAGATGAACAACAAGACAATCTAATTAATATCTATTATCTAAGCTCAATCTTTTGTGACCACAAACCTCCACTCAAACACTGACAGACAGACACAGTTAAGGGATTGTTATTTGTTCCATAACCATTTCAACGATGAATACCAGGCTTTCATAAAATCCTTTGATTATGGTTATATTACAAGCATTTGGTACTATACATCTTGCTTGAAATCTAAACATACTAGTTAATACAAACAGCTTAAGCAGACTTATGGAGACTTATTTGTTTCTTATAACTGGATTCTTTTCTCAGAACTTTCAACAAGTTGATAACTGGAGAATAACTAGAGAAAAGAAACAAAAAACCCTGGCCATGTCCAGCAGCTTCCAAAACAAAGACTCCCTTCTGCCCTGAACCCCGTAACTGATTAATTAATTGAACATCCAACCAGTTGCCAGTCCCTGAGCCTATTGGCGACAGTGTTCTTTGAGCAGTAATTAACATGCATTATCTATTTAGGCCAGTTCCCAACAACAAACTTCAGTCTTTTGCTCCCTCTAATTGTTTAAAAAACAAGTTCAAAGATCAACTCTTAACTCCACCTCACAGTTCCAAATCAGAAATGAGAAAAATAAAATAAAAACAATGATAGTCTCAACATGGTACACATTGCTGCTACTGAGCGTCGGTGCTGGAGGGAGTGGATGTTTCTGGATGTGGTGCCAATCAAGCGGCTGCTTTGTCCTGGATGGTGTCAAGCTTCTTGAGTGTTGTTGGAGCTGCACCCATCCAGGCAAGTGGGGAGTATTCTATCACGCTCCCGACTTGTGCCTTGTAGATGGTGGACAGGCTTTGGGGAGTCAGGAGGGGAGTTACTCTCTGCATTGTATTATTTCAGCTGAGAGTAATGAGATAAATGACTAGCTGTTTCTTGTTTGAAATGTTTGAGAGATGAATATTGACCAG